AGGGCCGAGAATAAGATGTGGAAGCTGCTTGTGGGTGGCGTATGTGGCTGGGGAAGTGGATGCTAGGTTGGGGAGTGCATGGGTGTAAACGGTGTAGGGTCACGGGGACGCCAAAAAGAAGAAAACACACATCACTTTTGATATCTCTGTCAAGAATGAGCTCTCGATTTTTTCGGTCCCCGGCGCAATTGCTACAAACAGCATTGCACCAGGCACAGTGCTGGGCATTGCCTTGCGGAACCCAAAGTGCAGCCAAACACAACATCCCACCCGACAGATTTGATTAAAGTGATTTGAATGCTATTATGTTACAGGCCCAAGAAAGGCTGCTGATCACGTGCAACAAACTCAGAAGGTGGCAACCGCCTTCAGAGCTGGACCCGAAATCTCGGTCTCTGTAAACGAGAAACTGCGCGTAAGCTCCAGATCAAGAGTTCCGCTCCCAAAGCCTCCCGGAATGGTATGCTGCACACGAAGGCAGCTTGGAGGTGGCCACGCGGCTCAAAAACCAGGGCTTGGGGGGTGGGGTGGTGCCTTGGACGCTTGGCGTCCATTTGACGCAATAGCGTTTTCTTATATAAATCCCAAAGTTGCCACCTTCCAAACCTTTGAGCGTGGCCTTCTGAATCCAGCTAATATAATAAAAAACACGTGGGGAGGCAAAGCGCCGTGCTTCTGAATCCCACCAGTACTTGGGCGAAAATATGTTTGGACGCGCCAGTACGTGGGAGAAAGCATTCTGGTCGCGGTCCCAAATCCGTGGAAAGCCATGCAGGCCGTGGTCCAAAACCCTTCAGGATTTTGGCAGGAACCGAAGCTGAACGACTCCTGCCGGCAAAGCCTGCAGGTCGCAGCTTGCCCCATATTTTTTGGGTAGTTTTCTTCGTTTGCTAGGCTTCCTGTAGGGACCGAGTGCTGCTGCCGCAGTCGTTGAGACCCGCCCACGCCAAAAAACAACTACGTGCGAGCAGACGCTGGGGGACATGGCTCAAGGTAGGTTGCATCTGTGAAGAGATCAGCATCACTAAATTCAAGAGTTCTGAGATGCGACGCGCAAAAAATGTTGGCAGGGCCAGCAAACTTCGCGGAACCAAAATTGCAGAATCGGTTTTGACTTATCAGGACTTCACAAGCTCATTCTGGGACGCCACTTCGACAGCTACGTTTTCAAGCCCCAAGTATTGTTTCAAGAAGTGGGCGCTGAGCCCTTACATGCAGCAGCGACGCTACTTTACATGTGGCTTCACTGTACTAGTAGTTGAGTTGCGCGATGGAACTCAGAATGCACGTCGTTCTTACTATGGTGACCTCGAATTATAAAGCATACACATGTGCATACATGTGGGCAAAATAGATGCAGTGAATACTTACCGGTCTAATATATAGGATCGCTTTGCTTATAAGTGGTTGGTGGGCTTACTAAGTGGATGATGGACTTATGTTGGACTTATAAAGGTGAAGACCAACTGACTTACCAGAGCACGGGCTGCGTGAGTTAAGGTCAACTTATTGTGGGGTTATTAAGTGGGATATATCGGGTGGATGTAAATATGTGGTATGAGTCACTTAGGGTTGCACTTATACATAAGTAGGGTAAGTAGGACTTACAGGACTGACATAAGAAGGAGAAGGGCACACACGTAAGTAGGTTAAGTGCACTTACATAAGTAAGTGAAGATAAATCCATATCCGTAAGTAGGCTAAGTAGCTTGAGTGGGCTCCAGAACAGCGCGCTGATCCTACTTATCGGACATATAGCCATGACGCAGCGGAACCCACTTAGCGGACAGCCGGTAACCCACTTAGCCTACTTACTCGGAGGCCACGTCGCTGGACCTATCTCCCACTTAGCACCCTACTTATAACTGAATTGCAACTCAGCACGACGTCGATCACAACTAAGGTTGATTGATAAGCACCTCAAGTACAACATAAATCCATGATCTGGTTATCGCAATTATAATTTAAGTACACTAATGTTGAAGCAGTTATATATCAACAACAAAACATCGTCGGACTATGGTCCATTGAAAGCATTTGGAGGTGTGGTTACCTAACTCATAGTTCATGTTACTGGACTTCATTAGATACTTAGTAACCACAGCACAGATCAAGCAATAGCTTTAATCTATACGCATTATAAATCATGCACGCCATTATATGATTGGGCCATGGATGCTGTGAACTCACAACACATCAAACATGCACGTCAATGTGAGGCTGGGTCATGCATGCTGTGAACGTATAATTATAAACCATGCACATCAGAGCGTGTGCGTCATGCATTCTAAATGGATGGGCCATGGATACTGCATGCGCCCTCGCAGATCTCAGGGCCCTCCGCGCCCTCAGCGCCCTCGCGCCTCAGCGCCCTCAGCGCCCTCCGCGCCCTCAGCGCCCTCAGCGCCCTCAGCGCCCTCAGCGCCCTCACAGCGCCCTCAGCGCCCTCCGCGCCATCCGCGCCCCTCAGCACCCTCAGGCCCTCCGCCGGGCATTAAGCGCCCGCAGCGCCCCTAGAGCCCTCAGCGCACTCAGCGCGTCTCAGCGAACCTCAGCGCCCTCCCAGCGCCTCCGCGCCTCAGCGAGCTCAGCGCCTCCGCGCCCTCAGCGATCTGGAGCCCTGGAGCCCGCTCAGTTCAGCCTCAGCACAAGCGCCCTCGCCGTCCTCACCTACACCGCAGCCTCAGCGGCTCAGCGCCCTCAGCGCCTCTCAGCGCGCTCCGCGACCTCAGCGCCCTCGCGCCCCCACCACCCCCACCAGCTCCCAGCAGCCTCCCCCTCACCGCGCCAGCCAGGTCCCCCCCCACCCCCCCCCCCCCAGCACGCCCAGCACCCCCCTTGCCCCACCCCCCCTTCCTCCCTGCCACCCCCCTCTCAGCCAGCACCGCCCCCAGCCTCCCAGCCCCAGCGCCCATCAACGCCCTCAGCGGCCCTCCGCGCCCTCAGCGCCCTCCGCGGCCTCAGCCTTCCGCGCCCTCCGCGCCCTCCGCGCCGCGCCCTCCGCGCCCTCAGCGCCCTCAGCGCCCTCCGCGCCTTCAGCGCCCTCAGCGCCCTCCGCGCCCTCAGCGCCCGCAGCGCCCCAGCGCCCTATAAGCGCCCTCAGCATCCCTCAGCGCCCTCCGCGCCCTCAGCGCGCTCAGCGCCCTCCGCGCCCTCAGCGCTCTGAGCGCCCTGAGCGCCCTCAGCGCCCTCCGCACCGCCTCCGCGCCCTCATCAGCGCCCTCAGCGCCCTCAGCGCGCTCCGCGCCTCAGCGCCCTCAGCGCCCTCCGCGCCTTTAGCGCCCTCAGCGCCCTCCGCGCCCTCAGCGCCCTCAGCGCCCTATAAGCGCCCTATAAGCGCCCTCAGCGCCCTCCATGCGCGCGATCAGCGGCCTCTGCGCCCCCAGGCCATCCCTAGCGCCTCCAGCCGCGCCCTCACTCCTCCCTACCAGAAGCGCGATCCGCGCACTCGGCCATCCGCGCCCTCAGGGCCTCAGCGCCCTCCGCGCCATACGCCCTCGCGCCCTCCGAGCCCTCAAGCACCCTCCTCAGAGCCCTCAGAGCCTGCAGCGCCCCAGCGGCCTAATAAGCGCCCTCCGCGCACGCTCAGCGCCCTCCACGCCCTCAGCGCCCTCACCGCCCTCCGCCCTCGCACCGCCCTCCGCCCTCCGCGCCCTCAGCATCCCTCGCCCTCCGCCCTCCGCGCCCTCCGCGCCCTCAGCATCCCTCCGCGCCCTCACCGCCCGCAGCGCCCTCCGCGCCTTCAGCGCCCTCAGCGCCCCAGCGCCCTATAAGCGCACCCAGAGAACCCAATAGACCTTAATTAAGAGTTCAGCCTTTAATTAACTTAATGAGCGCTTAAAAGCACCCTTAATTAGAGACTATACTGCTTAATTAAAGACTATAATCCTTAATTAAAGAAGAAAACCATTCTTAATTAAGGTAGTAATCCTTAATTAACGACAATACGCCTTAATTAAAGAAGACAACTTTCCTCCTTAATTAAGGAAGATTCGACGTGAGGTGCGGCATGGCAAGTTGCATGTTAAGTTCATGAACTGCGGGCATCTTGTTTAAGGAAACAGGTGTAGGGAGGACTTGAATATTTTATGCCCTTCGTTAAGTATGAAAAATTCACATGCGGCATTCTGTTTAGGGAGCATGTGTTCGGTGTCGTGGGAATATATCAATGTACATGTAGTATGCCATACAGATATCGATCCATGCACATGCATGCAGTCATGCATCCTACTATATGATATATGTATATATATATATATATATGCAAATGCATGACTCATCGATATCGGCTTCAGATTGCATAGAAACTCCACATGCGGCATTCTGTTTAAGGAGCATGCATGTCATGGTATTATAAAATCAAAACCATGCATGCCATGTATATATGTATCATCATGATTATAAATGCATGCATGTACATATATATTGAAGCCTTGCATTTGCAGCACCGTAGATTTCAAGGAGGGCACTCAGCCCATCCTTTGAAAAGACACCTGCAGGTGTCTCGCCCAGGAGGAATAGTCCCTCCTCATGCATGATCATGCCAGCATTATCATGTAGGAATCGTGCATGCATGCATGGAAAAAGAACAATGCATATGTGTTGTGCATATATGATATCGAAATCATGCATGCCTAGAAAAAGCTAGCTTAAAAAAACAGCAGCTGCAAAACCAACTTTGTTCTTCGACTTCGCATCATGCGTCGCAGTGCATTGCATGCCATGCATGCATCGTGCCTGAACTGTCGATAAGGCACGATGCATGCTCACCTCTGGCATGCAAGCTCGCTTTTGAAATCTGGACATCATGTGCTGGAGCCGCCATGCACGGCGGCCTTCCATGAATATATAACTATATTCGAGCCAACATGCATGCAGAGTTTCGACATTCAAGCTGCAGGCTTGCAAAGGCCATGCCTGCATGCATGCGCATGCATGCATGAAGCTTTCGATCTCTCATTTTTTCTGCACGGGCGATAGGCATATCAAAGCACAGGCACTTTATGCCCCGAGGTGAAACGAGAAAAGAAAGCATTGGCCAAGGCATTCGGGGTGTTGGCTCCTCCTTTGCTGGCTGCAAGAATAGCCATCTTCCCGCCCCAATCCTCATCTCGGTATGACCAGTGCACACTGGGGCAATCCCGGCCTCGATAGCTGATTTCGCAAAAGAGATGCAGTTTAGGAGTCACCTTGAAGAGGCAGACTCCTTGCACCGTGAAGTGCTCATGCAGAGCGACATAGAGATTTGCGAATGCAACTCCATGCTCGGCCAAAACAGCAGCATCGAACGTTCTGCTACTCAGTTGCTCATAGCATTTGTTGAAATGCCAGGCACACTTGTACATGGTCTGTTCCACCTCATTGTCAGCATCCCTAAGAGCATCAGCCATCTGTGCAGCCCAAGGCACCAGGCATCGCGATTCCCCAGCTTTTGCTCTAAGCTTGGGGAACTTCTTCTTAGGATCCTTGATCATTGAAGGCTTTAGATGATCCAACCTATATTCCACGGCCTGGACATCATAGAACTCCAAAATGCAGCGGAACATTTCTCGAACCTGCTCGTCAAACGTCCCTTCAAACTTCGAGCAGAAGTACTTCATTATGGATCCCAGGAACTGCAAAGCAATTCCTATGTCCACCACATGCAACCAATCCATTTGGATGCACTCAGTTCCAACATACGGTGCTGCGAAAATGGGACTGATGCTAGGAGCAGCCATGAGTGCCTGCCACGGAGTCTTCCTGTGCTCTGGCTGCATCCAAGCAGCTTCACCTGAAACCTCTCGGATATCTTCAGGCTTAATGTCGCACATCCAACAACAACCAGAGGCTTCGTTCCTGCCGGGCTACAAAAGGGAATAATTACTAAATAAGTACATGTATGCAGGTACAAAGTCAAAGCATACTAAATGCAGCCAAGACACCATGCCGGCATATACAGCACCTGCTTGAAAAAAGCCCAGTCGCCTCGTATTTCCAGCAAAACACTTCGAGGCGTATGGATCAATGCCCTTTGTTTTCTCCATGGTTCCTTAAGCGGCTGCAGACCTGTGTGATCGTACTTTGGCATTTGACCAGAAGTTGCACATGTCAAAGACCACCGAAGCACATCCATGACAGCATCCCATGTAGATCCCCCACGGGCTAGCCAATGTTTCTGAATGACGAAAACTGGAATTCGCATTGTGCTGCGAAGCTGACATGTGAGGATGTTGAAGCTGAGCATCTCCAAGCTCTGGTTTCTGTTTCGGGTCATGGGAACACCATCGCCCCAAATCCCGAGCCCGGTGAGGCTTTCACGATCGATCCCCATGTCAGCTGCAGCCCGAGCATGCCTTTGAAGCTCAGACTCCTGGAGATGGGCTAGATCTGTTAAGCCACCACCCTCAGGGGATTTTTCGTTCATGACATACAAAACCTCGTGGGGCAGCATGCATGTCAAAGTAGCTGTTTGTTGTCGTTGATTCTCTTTGTCCCAAACCGGAGCTTGAAACTTGTATGTAGGAGGCCAGTGACTGTTTTTGGATAGGTGCCTCCTAATATCCCTGGGTCGAGCGAGGCCATCTTGCCTCCTTTCACCGATCTCGGCCAATCTCCTTAAGGAGGAGACACCAGAGTCGCGAGCATCCCGAGCCAAATCGGAAGTTTCCTCTGCACTCAAAGTGTTTGAAAGAAACAAGTTCTCCACTCGAGACCTGAGGCGACGATCGGCGCTTTCGCCTTTCTCTGGTCTCTTCTTGCCTGGTAACATGTATACATGGCACGAGAACAACAACCGACACCTACAGTTGTAAATCGCTGAAGCATTTGCCAAGAGCCGACGATGCTGCATGCATGCATGCATGCATGGACACAAGCACATCCACATACATGCAAAGGGTCGGAGTCATGCATAGCAGGCATGTTCGAACATGCAAACACATGACTCATGTGCCAGCTGATTGCATTTTGCGGCTGCAGGGCGATCCGGGCATCATTCAAAAACCTGGAGCTGTGGAACTCTAGGCGGAGACCTCCTCAAAACTTGTTCGGGGTTGCAAATCCAAACGGCTGACCTATAAGGTTTAGGGTATATATAGATACCTTAATAATACGTATGCGTGTGTATATATGTATTATATGTAACCTATAGACCTATAGCTAATCTAGCCCTGATCTAGCTTGTATGTAGTTTTAATCTAATAGTAAAGCTACAATGTTAACTATATATATATATATGTATATTTATACATAATGTATAATTATAATGCATATATACACTAAAGTGCATACAAGTTAAGATATGTCGGTATACCAGTTTTATGTATACATATATACACAACATATTATACATAGATCTGTTATATGCATGATACTTAGTTATAACTCATAATTTCTGCGATATGCTTTTATTATACGGTATAATACAGAATAGAAATATGTATGTATATATATATATATACATATATGTATGCATATTTATAACTATATATATTAATATATTAAGCTTTTGTATGTGTAATATATATATATATATATATATATATATAATACATATATATATATATATATAGATATAAATGATTCATGTAACCTACACCCAAAACCCTAAACCTTCCAACTCTAATCAAAACCTTTCTATAAATCTTCCCGAAACGTGTACATAGGAGGTCCCCTCTGGCAGACGGCACATGGCTAGCGAAGGTTCTTCGCCTTAGTCATGGCCCTCTTAAAGGCATCCAGATGTGTGTCGGCGATATCGATTTCTGCCTTTAGCTCAGCCACCACTTCCTTGGTAACATCAGGAGGTTGGACCTCCTCGGCAGTTGCGATCCGCTGCCTCAGGGTAGCGAGGTAGTTGTCGAAGGTGTCAATCGCATTGGCCAGATCGGTCGTGTCGTAGCCGCCGCCGGTGGCAAGCTTCTGGCACAAGTCCTTGCCTGTGTTGAGCTCCTTCTGGATCTTCTGCTTGCCGCTCTTCAGCACTTTCACGCTCGAGACCAACTCCACATGCAAGGGGAACTCGATCTTCACCTTGGCGGCGGGGTCGGCGGTGCTTGTGTCCTTGTCGTTCAAGAAGGAGTCCGCCTTCTTCTTGCCGAGATCTCCTGCTGCGGTGATACCGGACTTGGAGCTGAAGGAGGTCTTCTCGGTTGTCATGGCATTCTTCTCATAGAAGAATCGCTTTTCACCGGCCTCCTTGAAAACCTTTTCTCTGGGCACCGCTTCGTTCCAATCGTAGTCGAACTTGAGACCGTCCAACAACTTCTGCAAGAGCGGGCTGTCGACCGGAAGGTTCTCTTTGGCGGCAATCTCCCATTGTGTCACAAATCCCGAAGCCTTTTCATCCTCCGTTTTCGTTTCGGTGGAGATCTCCCGAATCTTCTGCATGTAGTTGTTGCATGTCTTGTCTGCCAAGAAGGCAGCCAACATTTGCGCCTTTTCTGGATCATTGCGATCCAAGCTCACATAGCGATCGAAAAATTCGGCCTTGTTCTTGAGGTTTTCCAGCTCGCCGTCGCTGACCTGAATCGTGCCGTTCTGCACTCCCTGGAGCTTGGTCTTGGCATTCTTGAGGGTAGTGACCAAGTTGCTTTGATCTTTTTTCTTAGCAGCCTTCTCCATCTCCTGCTTCTTGAGCTCCTTGGCAGTGGCTTTGGGTGCTGCCTTGGGACCGTTCTTCGCCTTGGCCATGGCCTTCTTGGCAGCTGGCTTTCCCATGAGTGACGGCCTGGTGTCACGACGGCTGGGGACAGCTGGCTTGATGAACAAAGCTGAGGCAAAGGAGCAGAACATATGCATGCTTGTAGGCAACAACAGCACCCAAGCTGCGGCCATTCATTTTCCTGGATCATAGCCAAGTCAGAGACACGTTGTCACCTCAGGGGCACGGAGAAGTTAAACAGGAGTTAAAATTTAACTCCCATTTAAGTTGCATTTAACTCCCGGTTAGTTGCCTGGTACTTATATATGGAGTTAAATCCAAGTTAAATCAGAGTTAAATTTTAACTAGTGTTTAACTGCTTGGTCTGTGGAAGCCCTCCTTGATCAGGAGGGTTTCCTGGAACAGATCATACCAGGAGGCATTCCTTAGCCAGGGGTTGCCTCCTCCAGGAAAAAAAGCACAGCCCAGCAAACGACACCACAGCAACAGCCACCTCGACGACATAGTCCGTGAAGTCGGGCCTCGGTGCCACAGGCATGCAACACACGAGGCCGGCAACAGTGCACCACACCTGCAGGAGCAGGAGCTTACTTGGCAACAACAGCCTCCATGTTGTAGTCCCTGGAGAATGCACACCTGCAGCGGCTCCGAGGTGTCGTGCTGTGCGGCACGGTGGTTTGGGGCTTAAGGGTTGGAATGGTTTTGGGTTTTAGGGGTTTGGTGCTTTAGGGGTTTAGGGGTTGAGGGGTTTTAGGGTTGAGGGGTTCTAGGGTTTTAGGGTTTTAAGGCTTAAGGTTCTAGAGGTTCAGGGCTTTGGGCGTCTAGGGTTTTAGATCTTTGGGTGGTTTAGATTAAATCTATTCACACCATGCACACCAGGAGGGATCGCCTCCTGAAACCCCAAGGAGGCACTCCTGCTGAAGAGGAGTGTCTCCTGAACAGACACAAACACAGCCAAGGCAGCGGCACCACGACCAAGGCCAGCCTGGATGGTATAGTCCCCAGAGCCAGCCTCAGCGACACAGACCACAAACTTCAGTGCGGGGCCGGCCCCACATCGTCCCCGCAGTTCGGCATGTAGATATACCTGCACGAGGAGCATACACTAGCACCCAGCCCATGCATGATAAGCCCGGGTGCCTCGGCTTCGTCGGCACTGTCTGGGTCCTGCGAGGAAGTGACTTCTTGAGAATGCATGAACTGCTATATATATATATGCATGCATGCAGACATGCAAGCACAAACAACCGAGGCTTCAAAGCACACCTCAACTCTTTTCCAAGCGAAGATGCATCTTCAGGCGACCAGGATCGGTCCTTAAACCACGTGGATCGGCGGCGGCAATCCTGCCGATCCTGCTGAATCCACTGTGCGGCCCGGATCATCGTGGTGGTCATCGTCGGGGCCGTCCTTCTTGCCCAGGGGCTGGTGGTCTGGATCCACAAAAGGAGGGGCCTTGCCTTCCTCCGCATCTTCCTTATTCTCCTCATCGTCGCCCTGATAGTCGCCGCCGAACTTGCCGGCCTTTCTTTCCAGGTGCTTTTGCCACCAGATTTTCCGCTTTTGCCCGCGGTTTTTCTTTGCTTTGTGCACTCCGTGGTTGAGCACCGAAGCCTCCACTTTCTTTCCACCCCAGTTCTTCGCCACGTTCAAGTCCACGTCTGGCCGCGACCAAGCCAACTTAGCTAGCATCTTGTCCATGGAACAAAAGCAACGAACTTAAGGAGGCAGCCCCCGAAAGGCCGGCCTCCTATCTTCAAATTAGATCTCATGGTTTAGGGGCTTAGGGGTTTGTGATTGGTGGTTTAAAGGTTGATTTATAAGGGCTGCAGGGTTTAGTAGTCGAAGGTTTAGAAAAACAATAATGCAGCCAAGGCACGGAGCACCATTCGTTCAGGCAGATGCCCTCCCTGAAGTAGCTCTGCTGCTTGCAGCGGTTGCACCACCTGAGATACTGCTCAGTTTCCGCTGGAGGCGGGGGAGGCGGAAACGGTACCGGAGGAGCACCATGGGGGGCAGCTCCTGGAGTCGTGCTAGCTCCGCCTGCTGCAGCATCCGACCCACTGGGGGGCACATGCACGTGAACCCCTGGGGCAACAGCTCCGGTGAGTGCGGAGAGTTGCTCTGCTCCCAGCTGTAGCTGGATCACGATGGGGGCTGGGGTGTTATTGGTGTTGCCAGAGCTCGCCGGGTTGTTGTTACCCGTTGTCGACTGGGCGGCACCCATGCTTGTTCGCACAAGAAGATATTGGATCGAACTTCTTTTGTCGCTCGAGCCGCGATCTCAGGAGGCTCGCATGCTGTGCTCATGCCTTCCTATTCAAAGGAGACACGAACATTCAAGCACTGCCACTCCTGCATGCCTAGCTCTTCGAAAACATGCAGATGCAAACATTAAGCACTGGCAGTCCTCGTGCATGCCATGCAGATAAACCTCGAAGATCATCTCGATGGGCCCCATCACCTGCAAGGAGTTTCATGCGACAAAAATTTTTAAAGGTCGATGCATGCATAGCTAAGAAGAAAACAGCAAGCCGGGCCTGAGGGCAAGGTTGGACACATGAAAAGGGCTGCAGGACAAATTTCTATGTATATATATATATATATATATATATATATAGCTACATATTATGTATATATGCTTAACTCGTGCCAGAAATCATGCAAGGAGCCTCGCAAAGCATTCCTCTGCATGCCAAAATTGCCAACATGCACATGCACATGTACACAAAAAACACACACAGACATGCAAACACGTGCACACACACACACACACACTTGTTTCAAACCGATGGCAAGATCAACCTCAAAACCTGCCCAAAGCTGCATCGATCTCCGCAAAACCGGGCTGGGCCCTGGCATCCCTCGATCAAGCTATCACTCAGCCTGCCGCTGGAGGACCTCCTCACGGCGGTTCCGCATCAGCTCACGAAGCTCACCCCAGGGGGTAGTCGAATGAAGCCGCTCAGCCTCGAGGAAAAGCTCCTTGACCAGATCCCGATGCTTGTCGGACTTCCTTGAGTGGATCTCGATGAGCAAGGCCTTGGTTGGACCGAACTTGCCGGTGATGTAAGTGCGATCGGAAGCCATGATGTAGTGGACGGAGGCACACATGAGACTGTCCCTGTTCGGACTGCCAGCCTGGGTAGCTGCGGCCTTCGGGGATGGATTCGCTGCGGACTTCGGGGATGGCTTCGGCGAGGACTTGGACTTCGGAGTCGCTGGCTTCTTGGGCGGGGGTGTGGACAGCTCAGGCTCCTCGGGCTCTTCGGGCTCCTCGGCCTCGCCATCTGCAGATGCAGACCCGGCAGAAGCAGGAGCCTTCTTAGCAGGAGCCTTCTTAGCCGTTTTCTTAGCGGCTGGCCGCTTCATGATCTTGGAGATGCCACCACGGCCTGCTGCATTCTCGAAGGTCTGCAGGAACAAGTTGGGCACATCCAGGTCCTTGAGCTTGCCGAAGACCTTGGTCTTGAGAAATCCTTCAGGTCCTTTGAACACAGCACGCCGCTTTTCTGTGCCGTCCGCCATCCGAGTGATGTACTTGCAGGAGGCCTTGCAAAAGTACTGCAATGTGATCCCCGAGGATCCGGAAGCCTCCTCTGCGGGTGCGGTCTCGAGATCCTCCGCAGGCTGGCCATCGGAGCTGTGAATTGTATTGCAGCTAGCGATCGAGATTGCGGGCGATGCAGGAGCCGTCTTCGACAAGGCTTCCTCAGCACCACGGGAGATACCGTACATGGCATAGATGTCTGCAGACGTGGATGCCGAAGTCGAAGTCGTGCCTGTCTTGCTTGGCCTAGGATCTCGAGACGACTGAGACTTGTGCCTCTTGCCAGGACTGGCCTTCGCCTTTATATTCGCACACCCTTTCCACATGTGCATGCCGCCCGCAGACCAAGCTCATCTGCATCTAGCTTCTGCAAGCACTCGCAGACCCGCTTGATAGCCGGGTGAGTCTTCTTGCCAGACGTCACGGCTTTCATTTTGATGCGAACATAGCTCAGCGAATACGCAACTTGGCGGGCGAACATATCAACGTCCGCCGAGGATTCTTTTTCAAAGACCTTTGCCGCACAACGGCTGAGCTGCTTCGCTACCAGCCTTGGTGAGACCTTGAGAAAATCGACTATGAAGGATTCATAGCCTGCCACGATCAGCTCCATGTCCGTCTCTTTGTAAGCCGTGCCCAGGTTGCTGAGGTTGCTCCTGAGAATCTTCTTTACCTGCTCATCGGTGGCGGTGTTCCGAGCCCGGGGCTTGGTAGGGCTGGCGGTTGGCTTCGACATCATGACTAGTCCTCCTGAAGGAAAAGGAGGATCGATTGATCGATCGAGTTATACAAGCAGCTTGCTTGAGCCGAAAAAGCTAGGTTAAAGCATGCTCAAACAAACGAAACAAAAAAATTGCAGGCGTGCAACAAAACATATATATACCCAGTTCAAGCATGCACTCGCGATCTTGCACCTTCGTTTTCCTTCCATGGTTGCAAGTTCGATCCCTTCAGGATCGACCTGCTGCACATATTCAAGAGTCCGTGGGTGTAGCTCGCTGGCCCCCGCATGGAAAACCGAATTATCTAGGTTGCACCGGTGTTGCAGGCTCAATCACGGGGATGCCTCCACCATATCCAGTACCAAATCCTTGCATTAAATCGATCGCAAACAATAAAACATGTTTCAACACGTGCATGTCGATTAAAACCGTCTGCATGAAAGTCGCTGCGTCTCTCCGAGCCAAAAGTTTTTCCAACACCATCGCCATTCCAAGCGAACAGGCCGTGGCGATCTCGATCTTGAGCGATCCTGTATACATGCAAGTCGCAGAATAATAGCAAACTTCCAGCAGAGCAATGCAGCACTATCTCCTCTGCAACCATGATTGCAAGGGCAAAAACTCTGTCCGGTGGTCTTCTTGTGACCTTTCCGTAGACGTGCCCGGAGCTTGAGCCGAAAAAAAAGACAACACATAAATCTAATGTGTCGAACGTGCATTCAAGTCCGTCTCATGCAGTGCATGCATCCCAAAACATGGCAACAAAAATTTTGCAATGCATGCATGATGCATGTGTGGACATGCGTATATATAGGAGAGCATACAATAACTCTCCTGTGTGCATGCATGCATGCATGTGCAAAAAGAAAAAAATATGTATATGTGTATATAAAATATATATATATATATATATATATATATATATATAGAAATAATGAACCTTAATTAAGGAAGGTAACAGACCTTAATTAAGGCCTATGAATTTAAGGACTATAGACTCTAATTAAAGATGAATGTTTAAAGGCGCTTTCCTGAATGGACTATTGGGTTCTCTGGGCACTCAGCGCGCGCTCAGCGCCCTCCACGCCCTCAGCGCCCTCCGCGCCCTCACCGCCCTCCGCGCCCTCCGCGTCCTCACCTCCGCGCCCTCAGCGCCCTCGCGCCCTCAGCGCCCTCCGCGCCCTCAGCGCCCTCCGCGGCCTCAGCCTTCCGCGCCCTCCGCGCCGCGCCCTCCGCACCCTCAGCGCCCCCCGCGCCCTCCGCGCCTTCAGCGCCCTCCGCGCCCTCAGCGCCCGCAGCGCCCCAGCGCCCTATAAGCGCCCTCAGCGCCTCCGCGCCCTCAGCGCGCTCAGCGCCCTCCGCGCCCTCAGCGCTCTGAGCGCCCTGAGCGCCCTCAGCGCCCTCCGCACCGCCTCCGCGCCCTCCGCACCCTCATCAGCACCCTCACCGCCCTCAGCGCCCTAGCTCAGCGCCCTCAGCGCGCTCCGCGCCCCCTCAGCGCCTCAGCGCCCTCCGCGCCCTTAGCGCCCTCAGCGCCCTCCGCGCCCTCCGCGCCCTCAGCGCCCTCAGCGCCCTATAAGCGCCCTCAGCGCCCTCCGCGCCCTCAGCGCGCGCTCACCCTCCGCGCCCTCAGCATCCCTCCCTCAGCGCGCTCAGCATCCCTCAGCGCCCTCCGCGCCCTCAGCGCCCTCAGCGCCCTCCGCGCCCTCCGCGCCCTCAGCGCCCTCAGCGCTCTGAGCGCCCTGAGCGCCCTCAGCGCCCTCCGCACCGCCTCCGCGCCCTCCGCGCCCTCATCAGCGCCCTCCGCACCCTCAGCGCCCTCAGCGCCCTCAGCGCGCTCCGCGCCCTCAGCGCCCTCCGCGCCCTCAGCGCCTCAGCGCCCTCCGCGCCCTCAGCGCCCCGGCGCCCTCAGCGCCCTCCGCACCCTCCGCGCCCTCCGCGCCTTCAGCATCCCTCCGCGCCCTCACCGCCCGCAGCGCCCTCAGCGCCCTCAGCGCGCTCCGCGCCCTCAGCGCCCTCAGCGCCCTCCGCGCGCTCAGCGCTGTCAGTGCCCTGTCCCGGGGACATGTGCTCCGACTTTGGCACAGGATGCGCTCGGCCGGTGAAAATTTCAGCGTCTATTTGACGTGTCTTTCGTGCAAATGTCTTATACTGTTGCAAGCAAGGGCATGTCAAATAGCCTGCAAGTGTCCATCACACGGGGTGGGGTGGGGGTGGTTGGGCGACACCCAAACTGATTCGCAAAATTGTGGGGCTTATGCTTCCGCGAACGCGTTGTCACAGCACTCTTTGCGCGGTTTCACTGGAATGTAATTACATGGGTTTACGCTCTTTTTGCACTGTCTCCCTGCTTTCCGCATGCTTTCCGCACCGCCCGGGCCACCATCATGAACATGAGTTGGTCGGTGTCCCCAGGCACCCGTGAACCATCAGCATGAGCAATATGCCGGCCTCGGCCGGGGGAATATGATGCTCATGATGTTTGCCCTGCAACGGTGGGCCAGTGGCAGCCAATGCTCATGACATCTCATGACCATGGGGCGGCCGGGGGCTAGGGCTGGGGGGTGTTGTGGAGACCGCAAGGCGCATTTGCAGACATTCACACTTCGAACACCATTTCGGTGCAGCGTTTACACTCATGCTGCCCCGTACCCCAGGCATCGTCAGCATCATTGCGTCGGCATTTCTTATTTTCGTTTGGGGTCTAGCTGTCTCCATGTCTTGTCTGTGCTGGGCCTTAATTATCATCATAAGGCATCTCATCATCATGTGCGCCACGCAGTTGTTGATTCGGTTGTTGAGCCTCAGCCTCGCTTGCAAGGCTCCACGCGAATTTTGATCGGAATATACAGATCTTTGGTTTCCAAACATCCCCAGCACCCGCCAATGGACAGCATCGTGGAAATCAGCTCAGGTTGGTTTGTGGCCAGGCACAAACAAAGACCACCCATGCAGAAGAACATCCCGAGTGTCCGCAACTTAAAGTACTTATTGTAACAGGCACAATAGCACCCGCTCGACCCGGTGCCAGCGGATCAGCTGGACGCTTTCGCTCGTCACTATGCCGGCCGCAGCCGGGGGGCCCAGAGCTCGGCCGTTTTACCAGCACTCTGCAAGCATTTCATAGTATTGACACGACTTTTGTACGGTTTCCTTCTGCTTTCCGCATCGCCCGGATCAGCATCATGCGCCGCAGATGGCGGTGCTGTGGCTGCCTCCTGCTCGTCTTGCTTTGCAGGGGAGGCCTGTGCAGCACAGACGCTCGACGTGTTGTATGCACTGAGACCACGAACCAAACGCCCAACGTGCCTGGGCGAGCTTGACTGAAGAAGGCGCCAGCCAGGTGCCCACTGAGGGCAATTTGGCGAACCTGAAAGACCCACCCACATGTTGCTAAAGGCACGTGGCAGTGTTGCAGCGCCCCAGCTCAGCACCCAACGGCTTGATCGCAGGGGCTGCTGCCTACCAACATGCTGACTGCTGGAGCAAGGTTGGAATGGGCTACATCACTGTGACTTATGCTAAGGCAGCCGCAGGAGGTTTGGCCACTTGCTCTGGCTTTGCGGGAGCTTGTGGTGCCGACACCTTCGCTGACTGCTGACCTGCTTCAGCCATTGCAGCCTCAGAGTTGCCAAGTCATGTGCAACGCGCAAGCTTGTAGTCAGGCGGCTGCACAGCTGGGTGGCATGCTGGCTTTGGGAGAGCGACACCATTGGACTTCAAGGTGGCCTGCAGTAATCTTCTGTGCTTGCAGCAGTGCCTATTCGGCATCCACGGGGATTGACAACCGCAGCAGTGCTCTGATGGCCCAATTTCGCGGTCTTTTTCAGCTACCAGGCACTCCTGCTCGCAATCACGTTGTAAGGGGCCTTGACTTTCCCGTGGTTCATGTCGCAAGATGGAGCTCCGATGCCAAATCCATAAAACTGTGTTCAGCAGCTGATGGGGCGTCGAAACCCCTCCAGCCCCAAACCGCCTCACGTAAGCAGTTGAAGCTTCTTTGAAAGCTTCATTGTGACTATGTTTCGCACCAAAGAAAACATAATGTAGTGCACGCTGCTCCTTTGTGTTTAAAAGTACCGTCTCGGGCAACTGAGCAGGCGGCTGACAGAACAGCCGTCAAGCTCCCGTCTTTCGCCGACTTGAGCAACACATCACGTGCCTGGCTGCACAATGCACAAAGAAAGGGAATGCTACGTCTTAAGTCGCACATGATGAGAGCCTTGGACATGGGGCATGTAAAGCAGCGCATTGCTGCCATGGAAACACTCAGGGACGCTGCCTCCACTCGCAGGTCGTTCAACTCAACTGCCTGGGGTCTTTCAATCTCCTATGCGGCTCACTCAAAAAAGTGCTGTCCGGGAACCTTCAGGGCTCCGCTTAGTGTAGGTTCCTGAAAAAGAATGCTTTAAGGTTGTGTAGGCTCAGCATGGTTCAGCTCCACACATTTTAGACTCCAGGCTGCGGGATCATTCAACACGTTTTTGCTGCGGGGATCTGCAGGGAGCTGACATCGAAATACATAGAGGGATCTGACAAGAGGAAGAGGCTCCTTGGGCTGCCTGCCACGAGTGGACAGCAAGTGCTAGGACTGTGGCCGGCTGTCTTGTCAACTCCGGAGGGAAGTCCTGCAATCGATAGTGCTGCTTGGTTGGGTCTCATCTGGTGGCTGTGGGTCGTGATGCATCTTGAGCACATAGTCCTCCCCTCTCTCACGGAAGAAGCAACGCTGACACTGGCCCATGGCTGCATGTGGCCTAGAAGGGCACGAAATGACTGGGTGCGGCGCTGAGCCTGAGCCGCACACTATGGGGTACGTCTTCTCGAGCATGCTTTATGATGTTACCCAGATTTTGGGAATATGCGACAAGTGTCTTGAAAGGACCAAGTTCGTCTTCGGAAACCTACCCTGGCATCAGCGCAGAAACTAAATTAAGGGCTCCCTACTTGCCAGATCTTACACAGGTCTGGCTACATGAACCTGAAGGCGTATTCCTTCCTCAAGCGGGTTTGG